TAGCCGGCTGAATTGATGGCGGCGTGTCGAGTGTCACGATAGGCACTAGGCCGTCCGTGCTGTGGCCTTCTTTGACATAAGCAAAGCAGGTATGAACACTGTTGACAAGACAGGCCAAAGAGTGGAGGGCAAAGGTTGTTGCTGTCGTTCATCCACATCAAGCGCCCATCTCTTGCATGCTGTCCTGCTGGCGGCAAAAAGTGTGAGAACATGCTGCCCACAGCATTTCGGCCGTTGCCTGAAGCGGACGTCGAGGAAGAGGTAGAAGATTCGGAGGAGGAGTTGGAGGAGGAAGAGAGGCCATCTTCCAGGATGACACCGCACGCCAGAAGGATATTTTGTTTGCAAAGCGGACAACTCCTGTGCTTCAACAACCATGGGTCAATGCAGGCTTTGTGGTAAAAATGCCTGGAAGAAAGGAAGGGTAGTATGTCACTAAAAACTACCTATGAATTCGCATAAGAGTCAAAGGGTAAAGATATAAGAAGCCAGTGCATGGAATACTTTGTATCACTGTGAAAGCAGAGACTGTCTGAGGAGATATAAGCCTCTGTGAAAAGGAGTTTACACGGGGAGTCGGCGCCGCAACAAGGACTTTTTATGGCTGCACGTAAGGAGTCAAAACAAGCCATCAGTGGCATCGACAATGGTAAACGGTCGTAGGCGGAGCGATAATGGAATCGGTTGCCCACCACCAATGCACTTACTGGAAGCAGACTAGCGGGAAAGGAAAGAAGACAGAGTGCATTACTATTGTGACATTCATCACATCAATGCCATATTCGGATTTTACGTGCTACCAACTGTGTGTTAGGACTTGGCCCACTTGGCCGAAGCATGTGTCCTTGAGCCCGCTTAGTCATCCGCTGATGGTCCATGTCCTTTGTTTCATCCTGCCCGCGTGCCTTGTCGCATGTTCTGACCCATTGACCTCGTTGACTGCCTTGTCATTCGCTGACACACTGCGAACTTTATTCCCGTGTGCTTATTCACTGCTCCCCAAGCTTTTTGTTCCTTGCATCGTGTTTTTATTTGCCCCTGGTTCGTGTACTCCTGCCCAATGTAGTTATTTCCTTATAAACTGGCAGCAAAGTGTCTGCGTCATTTACGACTGCTCGTCTAAGCACCTTGAATGTCCACCCTCTTTTTGATTTCTACCTCGCATTTTTTACCTATCATGCAATGTTAACCTTACTGTTTTTTTTATAGAACAATATAAAGAATAACCGAGTTATCTGACTGTCCTTTGACATAACCTCTGACCTCGGGTGCGTATATTCAGGTGACGAAAACCAGCACTGCATAAAGAAACACCACATTAACAACAGTTATTCGAGCTGGAAAACGAAAAGCCAAGCATTATTTACATTACACGAGAAGCTCTTCAGCTAATTCTTACAACTATGTTTCAGTTAAATTTAGGCCTGCAAATACTGGCTGGATTCGTCCACTTACTAGAAGCCTTCGACTCTCCCTAGATCTATGTCACATGCGCATGAGCCAGTTACAGGGGGGTTACAATTTTTAAAGCATGAAAAGACAGAGGATGCGACATGAATTTGTGAGATCAATTGTGTTAGAGGAAGGATGTGGCATGGCGAAAGAAAGAAAAATCGGCTTGCGATAAACATACTTGCAGGGCAGACTCCGTATTACATCCTGAGGCTGAAAGAGTTCAATGCAAATGGCACACTGATCGAACCCAGTCGAGATTACGGGATCAACCGGCTGAAGATGTCTGACTGGTAGTCGTTTGAGCACCTTTTTAGTAGCTGCGATCAGCTTTCGCTGAAAATGAGAAGATAAAGGATAAGAGTTGTGGTAGGTTATCTACTACTGTTCATCGAAATACAAAAAGTGAGTGAAATGAGAGTGGCCGGCGCTATGTCCAGCGCTCGGAAATCACTAAGATCCCACTCCAAATAGATTCGAAAAGGCCTAAATATACGTGCTCTTCGGCTGCTTAAGAGATGAGTGAACACAGACATCGATTCCGAGACTTTCAATTCGCAGTTTTGATGGTTTGGTACTGGATTTTGATCGTGTTTTGGGCAGGTGGGGGAAGAAATGGAGATCAAGCGAACAGTAAGGGACGCGTGGAGTCTTTTTGTAGTTCCCTCTACGGTGTTTACCTGACTGTCTAGTTAAAGGGTGACAGTTGACTTAAAGGGAAACCGCGAGGGAGTTTAACTTCTTTTCATGGTCAAAGATGACGCAAAGGTTGAAAAATCAAGACTCCATTCATTTTTCTATGAAGTATAAGTGTCTCAGAATTGCAATCAAGCAAGATCATATAAACCCAAAAGGGCTTTCGTAAAAGCAGCTGGTGTCTGAGAAGGCATAAAACGACATAAACTTGGGATGCCTGCTCTACAACAGACTGTGGTGTTAATACTAATCTGACACTCGTTCACCCCTTTCCGCTCACCC